TGCAATAGATAAACTTTATATATGACCTTCTGTGTGCACATGATGGGGCTGATAAAATATGAAATGAGAACAAACTAGATATGAATAGGACATTTGAAACCCTAATTGTGAACTTATTTTTAATAATTACTGAGAGAATGAAAATATTTAAAATAATGCAAATGTCTCAAGTCTTCCTAAATCAAGATTTTTGGTTAAAATGCTTTTAGGAATATTACAAGCAGAATGAATTTTTTTTTAAGTAAAGCATAAAATGGTTCTAAATGTAAAATAAAGTCATGTAAAATAAAGTTCTCTTTTGGTCTTGTTCAGTGATTAAATCTAATAGACTTGAAAACAAATTTAGGAAGAGAAGACCAAGAATGAACTTTACTGAGGGTTTCCAAAGTTTTATTCTTTCCTTACATCATCTAAATATCAAAGACTCCATAATAACTTACAGAGCAGGCTTGAGAGGGCTTTTAAAGAGTATGATTTCACTATTTAGTATGTGCTCTAAACATTTCTAAAGATACTATTTTTTGTGAGTTTAAAGGTAGCAATTTGTAGGTCTAAACACAAAGTGAGGTATCTTCCCCTTCCCCTGCGGCAGTTCTCATGTGACTGTGGGCATAGGATTCTCTTGTGGAACTTGTTAATTAATGCACATCTCAGTCACACTCACATTCAGTAAATCTTACATGGAGGACAGAAGTCTTTATTCTTAAACAGGATTCCAGGTGACTCTGAATCACTACCCACAGAGCATTACTTTGTATTTACAAGTATACATTCCCCTCGGTAACAACCTGTGGAAAAGTACTTCCATTAATCACCAAGTCCTGAGTTGGGTTCTTCCTCCTGATAAACGGCTGGCTAGAAGTGCCTCTGAAGTGGCTAGAAGTGCTGGCTAGAAACTGCCTGACCAGTGAGAGGGAGTACTTTCCTTTTTGGAAATATCTTCAGTATTTACATTAACCTAAGTAAGTAGGCATGAACACACAGATAACTCTTTTCTACACCTAATTTGACTAATGCAGAAGTTAAAGCGACTTTATTCATGTCAAGATAGGTTAAATATAAGGAAAGTATCTTACCTCTTAGAAAATAAATATTACTGGACTATTGTGACTGTAAGATTAAGTTTCTCTCAATTACTAACCTTTGTTAGTACTTATGTGCCAGGCACTTGGTCAAGTGCTTTACATTCATTTTATTCTACGAGATAAAGCCTATTACCTATCTCTTGAATAGGAAATCCAGGCACAGGTAAACAATGTGCTCACAGCTACACAGCTAGTTAAGTGTGAAGTGAGGCACGTCTCCAGGCATTCTGGAGCTTGCATTCCTAAGTATTGGGCTACACAATTTTGTGGGAGGTGTAAATAAGCAAGTGAGTTGGTCACTGAAGGTTCTAATCACCCAATTCTAATATCTTGGGTGCAGGTGAGTGTCCCTCCACACCACCAAGCAATGCGGTGACACCAGCTGGGTGTCCTACAATTCACCACAGTTCTGACACTGTACCTGAAGACAGTATCAGCTTCCACAGGTAAATGGCTCAGTCCCATCAGACCACACTCCAGATGTGAACTGCAAGCACAGCTTGTCACCTGTACATCTGACAGGCTATATACATCTGTTTTGGAACAACAGTTCCCATGACTCCTTCCTTGGGTTTGGTTAATTTGCTAGGGCGGTTTGCAGACCTCAGAGAGACATTTTACTTATTAGATCACCAGTTTATCACTAAGATAGAACTTAGGAAGAGCCAGATGAGTGATAAGCATAGGGAACGGAGGAGGAGCTTCCCATATTCTCAAGTATACTGCTCTCCCTGAATCTCAAGTGTTCACCGACTGGAAGCTCTCAGACCTCTGACCTTTGGGGTCTTCACAGACCTTCATTACACAGGCATGACTGAAGTCGTTGGCCATCGGTGCTTGGTTCAGCCTCCAGCCCCTCTCCCCTCCCTGGCTGTAGGGTGGGTTACCTCTCAAGTTCCAACACTACTGTCACCTGGCATCCTTGGCAACCAGCCCCTATCCTTGGGTGCAGTCCACAAGCTACCTCATTAAGAACAAAAGACACCTTTATCATTTTTATCACTTGGGAAATTCCAAGCGTTTTAAAAGCTCTGTGCCATAAACAGGGAAAAGACCAAATATATATTTATTATAAATCACAGTATCACAGTCTTCTACCCCTGGTCTTTGAACACAAATACCTACAGCAAAACAAAGATAAAAAATTATAGCAAATTACTAGAATCCCACTCAGTGCACAACTATGCAGTCCATCACTGAAAGTGTCTCCCAGGGTGAGGCCACTCAGGTTGGCAGGCTTCCATCTGATTGTGTCAGGTTCCAAAAGCAGGAGAGGAGTCAGTGGTGTATGGCTTCACCCTGCATCTGGTGTAATTTGAGCAAAGGAACTACCATTTTTTTTAATGTTTTCTTAAAAGATTTTTTAAAAATTTTTTTGGAGAGAAGGGAAGAGAGGGAGAGAAACATCAATGAGAGAGAAAAACACTGATCAGTTAGTTGCCTCCCCTACTGGGGACTGAATCCGCAACCCAGGCATGTGCCTGGAAATTGAACTCGCCACTTTTCACTTTCAGGATGATGCTCAACCAACTGAACCACACTAATCAGGGCTTCCCCCGCCTCCCCCATACATCCTCACCTGAGAATATGTTTGTTGACTTCAGACAAGGAGAGACATTGATGACAAAGAGACATCAATTGGTTGCCTCCCTTATGCATCCTGACTATAGATCGAACTTGTAGCCTACATGTGTGCCCTGACTGGGAGTTGAACCCGCAATCTTTTGGTGTACAGGGATGATGCTCCAACCAACTGAGCTCGCTACCTACTCAGGGTGGAACTATCAACTCTTCCTCTAAGCCTCTTTCAGTATGTTAATGTAATACGGGCTATCCCTAACTACATAACCATTTATTCATTCCTTTACCCATAATTAATATATTTCCTTCTCTCCATTTATACCCAAACTTTTCCACCTTTGGAAAGGACCTTAGGTTCTGCCTCTGTGCTTGCCTACACTGCAGACAGCAAAACTAGTCTAGCAAGTCCTTCCCACTTCAGTTCCGATAAGGTAAGGTTACAAAGGTGTAGAACTAGTGGGCTATTTTTACCACCAACCAATACAGCTGAATTCACTGTTAGCCCCAGTTTGGCAGATAGGGTGATGGGACATCCTACCCCGTCAGACCCTTGGGAACTCCAAGTTTAAAAGCAGAGTTTCTTGCTTAGGAATCATTCCTGCTTCTAGCTCTTGTAGTTGCAGCAGCCCTGGTCCTATGACCACTGCACTACGTAGAAGAAAAAAAAGCTGAAGTGATGCAAGGAATAAAGAGTGTCAGCATCTTCCTCATTTTCTCTTCTCCAGATCCCATAGAAAAACCTACGCAGCAAGGAGAACCCTTTAGCCCCACTCCTACTCATGTTGAGTGCGGGCACATTAACAATCACTGTTTCAATCACTCACTCCAATTCCCTGCCAAACTAACCAAAGGAGGAGAGCTCTCTGTGCCCACTGTTGGACGTTATGGACTATAAATTATGTTTGCTCCTTGGTCTGAAGAAATAATAAATTGTAAAGTTCAAGCAACTCGGTTTGATCTGAACCTTTCTGACCTATGACCTCTAGGATGGCCTGATTACTAGTCTACTTGGAAGCTACCAGAGTAATTTCCCACCCCAACTAAGTGCTTTACAAGTAATATCAAATCCATACAACGATCTTATTGGGAAGGAATTATTATTATTATCCTAAAAATGAGGAAACAGTGTCGAGATGCTGAGTAATATGTCCAAGGTAGCACAGCTAATAAACAGGGGAGCTCGAATTCATGCCTATGGTATAGTTCTAAAATTTATATTCATTTTCACTAAGCTCATTCATTTTCATATCTTCAGCAGCAAATATGTTATCTGACATCTTGTTTGATGACTAATTAAATCACAGAATTTTTGCTCTTAGTTTATTTGCCATGTGGCCTATGATAAACAATCTAACTTCTTTAAAACTCAGTTTTCTCATATAATTTATTTTATTATTTAAAGGTTATATGTGTAAAAATGTGACTCCACACTTGACCCCTGGTAGTTGCCCAGAAAGGATAACACTCACCCCCTACTCTAGGGCAGGTTTTAGAAAGAGCTTTCAGTTACTTTCAAAGCTGAATTTTCTATCCTATTTACCCCACTTCACACAGCTATCCACAAAACAGGTGCGTGTTGTTCAAGGCTTAATAGTTCAGCTTCAAGCTACCTAAACAAATCTTTCACCTCATTTTAGATCAAACTATTTTTTCCTTCTGTTGTACGTTTTGTTTAGATAGTTCCCCTGAGAGACGGGTCTTGGTAATTCAACCAAATTATTGTGACATTAGTAGCCACTGCCTGCTGCTGTTACGGGGGAGAATTTCCTCCCTCCAGGGCTTTAACTTTTGGCCTTGTAACGAGCAGTTGCCTAGGAGACTGCGCAGTCGACTACTTTCTAGGTGGGTAATCTTATCTACCCTAAGTCTGAGTTTCTTCACTTGCAACATGAGGGACATTGCTATCGCTACTTCAGAGATATACTCACAACTAAATCACTTAATTTATAAAAGGTGCTTAGGGTGGTGCCTGACACTTTGTAAGAGCTCAATCAACATTACGAAAAGCTCAGTTTGTTGAAACAATTTCAGAGCTTTCAAAGCATTTTCCTAAATTGAGTCATTTTCCCCTCTCACTCTTACGCCCCACCTACTCCACGCACACGCACTCTTGTCCCTGGACCCCTTCTCGCCGGACGGGTAAATACAAAACAAGGCAGCGTTCCCTCCCCCTTCATTTGCTGGCGGTGCCGCAGGTTTTTTCTCCCAATAGTGTGGCTTCCCCCCACCACTTCGCACAAGGATGGTGCTTCCTCCTTATCATCTCCTCTGGAATGTGGTCCTACCGCCCCCTGGACCTCTCTCCCTGGCGTCTCGAGAGTTAGCGCGACATACCGTGTTCCTGGGGCACCGCGAGAGCTGCGAGGAAATCGCGACGTGGAGAGGTGACCTGGCGTGACAAACACCTCCGGTCCGTACCAGGGCAGAGGAGCCCGAAGTTGCCAAGGAAGGCGGGGCCGAAGGTACCTCGGGCCGCAGGCGGGGAACCGAGACCGGGCAGGCTCCGGCGGGCTCCGGCGAGCTCCCACACCGCGCAGGCGGGAGGCGGGGCGGGCGCAGAGGGAGGGGCGGGGCCAGCCGGGGAGGCGGGCCCCTGAGGTGGTGTTGCCCGGGCAGGCCCCGTGAGTCCGTACTGGGTAGGAAGGAGGCGGGGCCGGGGCTATGGAGTGGGGCGGGGCCGGCCGGAGTGGGCGAGTCCGTGAGGCTGGAAGGCAAGACCAGGCCTACGCAGCGAGAGTCCCTCACTGGGCAGACCAGAAAGCAGGGGCGGTGCAGCGGAGCGAGGCGGGGCCTGCCGGCGTGGGAGGGGCCTCTGCCGCTGCGGGTGGGGGCGTATACTGCAGCCCTACGGGGCACCTGCGTCCAGTCCTAGTTGGAGGTGGCCTGCGGCGCTCGGTTCTCTCCGCTCCGCAGCTCTGGCGGAGTCTGCGCGATGGGCGACCCCGAGAGGCCGGAAGAGGCCAGGCCAGAGCTGGAGGAGGTAACGTGGCTGCCGCTTTTTCCTTGGTCCCACAGTCAGCCTAGCTTCTAGATCGCAGGTTGCGGCGGGGACTTGCGAGGTGCAGGACCGCTATAGGAAAATTTCCCCCTTGCCATTGGAAACCCCGTGACGGCCCGGTCTGGATCTCGCCAGAGCCTTTCAAACGCCCGAGAGGCCGTCCCCCGGGACGGGTGAGGAGGGAGCCGGGTTTCTGCTCCACTGCTCTGCACCAGGGCCGAAGGCAACGCTCTGAGGCTTCAGGCCGGGGCGAGGAGCACTCCCTCCTTGACTCTCCTCGCATCCTTCTGTTTTCTGGAGCCCCGGGTTCGGAAACTGAAGCAAGGAACGACGGCTGGTGGTCTTAGTGGAGAAATGCATGTCATGTGTGGGGTGGTTCGAAGGAACTGGATGACGCCGGTGGAAATTGACACACAGTGGGGTGGAGATGATCCGTGGAAGGGCCACGGGAAATCTTCATAACAATCGAAACAACCAATTCAGGGGGCAGTTTTGCTTATACCAGATTACGTAACTAGTTGTGAATCTTTGGGGTGTCACTTTCTGCTTTTATACAGTGGAGGTGATACGACGCTCACAGAGGATTAAGTAAAATACTTATGTAAAGTACTGTGGAACTTCTGGATGCTTCATAAAACCTAAGTTAACATGCATCCTCTCTGCTTCTATGTTAATAAAGTACGTAACAGTAAAGAAACCGGGATTTATTAGACGGGAGTGTTGTAGGGTAATTCAAATTGTTGCTCCATAATTTTCATAGTTCGTTATTTTCCACATTCTAAACTATTTGTGTGTCCTTTGAATCTGTTACTATGTGGTTTCTTTGATATAATAGTTTCAGCTCACAGAGACATGCTTAACTCTACATTTTTTAAGAAAGTTGTAGGTTCCTGATTTGTGATTTTATTTCATTTTGAATTTGTAAACATTTAGTAACTAACAAATTGTTAGCATCCCTCCAACTTTTTCTTCCCATATTGAAACAAATACCTTTAGTACTGATTTCCCCACTTGGTTGAGACAACTCAGATTTTTCCTTTTGTGGTAATGGCCCCAGCAGTCATGCAGGCGCAAGGCCTGGAAGTTAACTTATATTATTCCTACCTCAGTGATACACACCCACTAAGACAGAGGCAGAACTTTATTTAGGTCTAGAATTAATTTTAGTGAGCATCTGTTCTGATGCCAGGGATGCCTGAAGTACTTTGTTTCTCTAGATGTGATGGTGCATTATGGGCCACTTACATCAGAATCACCTGGACTACTTTGTAAAGAATGTCAGTTATTGGGCCTACACTCAGTCATCGACTTTATTTGTTTTAAAATATGTTTTATTGATTATGCTGTTACAGTTGTCCCATTTTCCCCCCTCACCTCCACCCTGCACACCCTCTCCCACCCACATTCCCCACCTTTAGTTCATGTCCATTTGTCATACTTATAAGTTCTTTGACTTCTACATTTCCCATACCATTCTTACCCTCCCCCTGTCTATTTTCTACCTACCATCTATGCTACTCATTCCCTGTATCTTTTCCCCCTTTCTCCTCCTCCCACTCCCCTGTTGCTAACCCTCCATGTGATCTCCATTTCTTTGGTTCCACTCCTGATCTAGCTGTCCATTTAGTTTGCTTTTGTTTTAGATGTGGTTGTTAATAACTGTGAGTTTGCTGTCCCTTCACTGTTCATCTTTTTTATCTTCTTTTTCTTAGATAAGTCCCTTTAACATTTCATAAAATAAGGGCTTGGTGATGATGAACTCCTTGAACTTGACCTTATCTGAGAAGCACTTTATCTGCCCTTCCATTCTAAATGAAAGCTTTGCTGGATAGAGCAATCTTGGATGTAGGTCCTTGCATTTCATGACTTGGAGTACTTCTTTGCAGCCCCTTCTTGCCTGTAAGGTCTCTTTTGAGAAATCCACTGACAGTCTGATGGGAACTCCTTTGTAGGTAACTGTCTCCTTATCTCTTGCTGCTTCTAGGATCCTCTCCTTCATTTTAATCTTGGGTAATGTAATGATGATGTGCCTTGGTGTGTTCCTCCTTGGGTCCAACTTCTTTGGGACTCTCTGAGCTTCCTGGATTTCCTGGAAGTCTATTTCCTTTGCCAGAATGGGGAAGTTCTCCTTTATTATTTGTTCAAATAAGTTTTCCACTTGTTGCTATTCTTCTTTCCTTTCTGGTACCCCTGTAATTTGGATGTTGGAACATTAAAGATGTCCTGGAGGTTCCTAAGCCTCTCCTCATTTTTTTGAATTCTTGTTTCTTCATTCTTTTCTGTTTGGTTGTTTCTTTCTTTCTTCTGGTCCACTCCCTTGATTCTAGTCCCAGTTTTCTTTCCATCACTATTGGTCCCCTGTGCATTTTGCTTCATTTGACTTAGTGTAGCCTTCATTTTTTCATCTAATTTGCAACCAAATTCAACCAGTTCTGTGAGCATCCTGATCACCAGTGCTTTGAACTGTGCATCTGATAGGTTGGCTATCTCTTCGTGGCTTAGTTGTATTTTTCTGGAGCTTTGATCTATTCTTCTGTTTGGGCCATTTTTTAAAATCTTCTCACACCTGTGACGTATGAGGGGCAGAGCCTTAGGTGTTTACGGGGGTTGGAGGGTGGGGGGCTGGGACAACTCAGTTGCTGGGTTGTGATACTGTGTGTGGGGTAGGGGTCCGAAAGGGAACAGGGGCACCTGCTCTGCTCTCTGCTGGGTTTCAGTCACTTCCCTGCTTCCCCCAAGCAAACTGGGCCCTTCTGGTGCTGATTCCCAGGTGGGTGGGTTTGTGTATGTTCTGAGACCCTGTGGGTCTCTCCAACGAACTCTCCTGTGAGGCTGGGAATCTCTCCCTGCACCAGAACCCCCACAGATGTTTTCAGTTGGTGTTTTGAGGCTTTATTTTCTTGCCCTGGGGCCCTGGGTTATGTGGTCAGTCCTGCTCCCCCTTTGTTTCACCTGGCTTATCTGCATGCGAATGTGGGACCACCTGGCCTGCCAGCTGCCTTGCACGCTGTGCCAGTCCACAGTCCACCACTTCGCTGGGCCCACCAGCTGCCACCTTGCACGTCCTGGGTCCACCAGCCACTGTGTTTGCGGCAGCCCCTGTCCATCCCACCTCCTGACTCCGCCCCTCCTACCAGTCTGGATGAATGTGTCTACTTTAACTCCTTGGTTGTCCGACTTCCATACAGTTCAGTTTTCTGTCAGTTCTGGTTGTTATTTTGTTTCTAAAATTTTGTTGTCCTTATTTAGGTTGTATGAGGAGGCACAGTGTTTCCACCTACACCTCCATCTTGGCCAGAAGTCCCACCTCCCAGTCATCAATTTTGATAGTGAATCAGAATCTCTTGAGATGGGTGCGGGACTGCATTTTTAACAAGCGCTCAGGTCATCTTGGCACACATGTTTTCAGAACACTGCCTTACAGGGTTTATACGTGGGCTTCGAGTGAGGTTTATAAATCTCCTGAAGTTTGAAGATTTTTCATGTGTAGACATGAATCTTCTAAGAAAGGGGTCCATAGCTTTCACTCATTTCTCAAAGCTAACTATCTAACTGATAGTCTCTGTTTTTAAAGTAAAAAAGTTCAGGCCAGAACAGGTTAAGTGACCTGCCCAAGACCACACAGCTCAGTAATGGAACAAGGTTGTTTTTTTTTTTAAAGATTTTATTCATTTATATCTAGAGGGGAAGGGAAGGAGAGAGGGAGAGAAATATCAGTGTATGGTTGCCTCTTGTGCATCCCCTGCTGGGAACTGGCCTGCAACCCAGGCATGTGCCCCAACTGGGAATCGAACCGCGGTCGTTTAGTTCACAGGCCCAAGATTTATCCACCAAGCCACACCAGCCAGGGCTGGAACAAGGTTTAAAACCAAGTTCTTGCTCCTGGGCTATTCTATTTGTTTTGTCAGATTTGATGGAAATAGGAGAATGAAAACAATACTTACGACTAGTATAGGATCATGACAGTGTCTAAATATTCTACTTTACCTGAGCAGCAGAAGAAAGGTGGAGGCAAGTGAAAGTGGTGGAATTTGGGTGGGTGGAAGGGAGGGGCCTAGTAGAATGCCATCGTGGGTGAGAGCCTACGTAGGTGAGTGTGAGCTAGAGAGTCTTGTCTTAGATGGGCGTGCTAGCATGTCCAGGCACTCTGGGGACCAGGTGACCAGACACTGAGGCAGGTGGAAACTAGCAGCACTTTTCTGGAAGAGACTGAATGTTGCCAAGAAGTACCTCGGCGAAACTTTATTTTAGACCCTCCTCACTTCACAGCTGTGCCGCTGCCACTTCGATGTCTTTCTGCCTCCAGTCTTACCTGCTCTCCTATCCCTTTTACCGCTGCCCAGTCAGCCCATCAGTAAACCAGTGCCTCTGTGTCACTGCGTCTAAATAAAAACTGCCGAAAGGGTCTCAGTTCCCACCAGAAAATGCCCAGCTCCACAGACTGGCAAAGTCCTGTTCAAGCAGTTTTTCCATGCTAACTGCCGTATCTTAATTCAGATTGTCCTTTCCACCTCTAACTTGACACCATAGTTAACTACCAAAATCTAGGGGTTTTTTTTCTTTTCTAATTCATGGATATCTGATCAGTCTTCCTTATGCTGTCCCTGTTCATGTCAATTGCTAGTCAGGAACTTTCCATGACTCTCCATAGAAATGATTTGCAGATTGTGCTGCACAGTGAATGCCGGCACCTGGAGGTTGGGAGCAAGTGTGGAGAATTAGAGTAGGACCTTCCCCCCGCCCATGGGGTTTGCAAATCTTTGGCTCATTGAATTCCTAACCTCTTAGTTTCATATCTAGGGGGTGGATCCTGTTCCAGATTCCTCTCTGTCTCATCTGTTGACCCTTTACTTTAGCCAAATCAGATCACTTCTGCCTTTGTTTTACATACACTTCAGTCTGTTTTAATCTCAGCTGGCTGCCATTCTTCCACCTGCCCTTGCTCTAGGCTTCGTCCTCAGTCATTCTGCTGCTGCTGCATAAGACGTCCCTGAGTAATCGCAGCCCTCCCTTTGGTGACTACTGATGGCATCTTTAGGGAGGGAGCAGAGACAGTGCCTCTGCCTACCATAGTGTTGTATTTTCATCTCTCCACTAGACATCTTGAAATTGAACCCATTGTCTTTTTTATCAACCAAATCAATGTTTTAAAAACTTGTGTTTGCAACTTTTTACTCTTGTTGTGGCTTGTGTTGGTGGGGGGAGTTGATTCCAATTAAACTTTTGCACTCAGAGAAAGCTTGATTTGAGTAGTCATTAGATTATCTCACTGATGGATTGTGGCTTTATGTTAATTAAAAAATTATAACAGCAGCCAGTAATCTGAGCCCAGGATAAAAAGAAATTAGCAGCCCATTCACTTGCTTAGCTAATGCTTATTGAGGATGTGCCTGACAGTACTCTGGGAACATCATAATAAATAAAAACTAGTTTCTATACTCTGGGGCTTAAGTGCCACAGCTGGGGAGGCTCATGCCTTCAATAAAAGCAGTTGCCAAATAAGACAGCATGTGTGAAATGTGTAAGCCCCATCTGTGTTTGTGTGGCCTCAGACTTTGATTGTGGGCCTTTCTCTCATCCGGCCTTGACTCTTAGCTTCATCTACGTTAGCATGAGGATTGGTGGGGGCACTGGTAAAGATGCAGGAACACAATGAATCAAATCCCAATAACCTTGATTTACATGTTTTAGTCTATTTGTATATACTTTGTATATCCTCATTCTGATGTACTTGTAACTCTTCTGATGATCTTGCTGACTATTTAAAAAAAAGAAAAGGCACTGTGGGAGTACCCTGGATATTTCCAAGTAGTATGTATGTAGGTATGTTTCTCACTTTATTCCTCAAAGCTTTGAGGCAGCCCACAGTGAGACCAAAGGCAGGAATGTTAACATGTAACCAGCACTAACAAGTTGGTGTGTGGTCAGCGTCAGAGGAACAAACGCTCCGTTGGTACAGAGTTTTCAGATAAGTATTATTGTATTTCAGTGAAGACTAGAAAAGAAAACATTAAACTAAAAAGAATAAAAGGTTTTAACAGTAGCTTATTTGTGCCAGCATTTTGTCTCTGAGAGAGGAACAAAGGGGACTTTTTATTCATAAACTTAGAAATTTTCCCACTGTGACATTTATGGGTTGAGTTTTGCGCTTATCCTTAAGGCAGCATTAATGACAGTAATTTGTTCAGTGTTTATGATATACCAGGTTCTGTTTAAAGCATTTTTAGCCACATCAAAATTAATTTGATGATCACTTGTGAGGTAGATACTATTTTATTGATTTGGAAACCAAGGCTCAGAGAAGTTATACAACTAACCAAACACCATTAACCAGCCAGCAGATGCAATTCAAGCAGACTGGCTCCCAGACCTATGCCGTTTCCCTAAACACCCCCAGATGTGTGTTTAGTTATGAATAAAGAGGAAATGTCTACATAAAGTGGGTGTCTGTACTTTAATTTTCATAGAGGTTGTCTTCAGATCCCAGCGAAAGTGAAGCAAAGTCAAATGAAGAACCGCTCCTGAGGAAGAGTTCTCGCCGGTTCGTCATCTTTCCCATCCAGTACCCTGACATTTGGAAGATGTATAAGCAGGCACAGGCGTCCTTCTGGACAGCAGAAGAGGTCAGTGGTATCACCTCCATCAGCAGTCATGCTCTGTAGCGCAGTGCTGACATTTTCTGCTCCCAGGACATTAGAGAACTTTAATTTATATTGTGAGATATATTGTATAAGATCACTTTTTGAGATAATGTTTGAAATTACTGAGATTAAATACTGTGGGAAATTACTGACAGTGTTTGCCAATGGTTGGTATTTAGATTGATGTCTATACACATTTCCTACCACAAAAATGGCATCTCAGTCTGCCAGATTTTTACTTCCAATGTATTTTAGGACATTTTCTACTTTTAAACAGGCATTTTCTGTTTTTAAACAGACTTTTGGTTTGCTGTGGCTAAATGAATGAATCTTTACTTATTGTTGGCAGAATAAGGAAAATTGTAGCTGTAGCCATAAAATGAAAGTGAAAGCCTTAGGGACCCCACCTTCAATTGAGGTTGTGCAGAAGGAGCTGTCTCGGGAAACGTTTGATCACCGGCCGGTGCTCCCACTCTGAGCTCCTCCCAGGCTGGCCCTGCCCTCAGCCACATCACACCTGGCACAGCTGCCCCAATAGACGGGACATCTGGAAAAGGCTTTCTGTTAGTGGAATTTTCCACTTAGGAAGTGACTTGAACTCAACAAATTAGGAAATACTTGCTGGTTTCATAAGGACATTTGTCATGTCACTTGTTGCTCTGTAGTCTCACTGAACACACAGATAGCCATTGTTGTCATTTTTAACATGATGGGTGGTAGCACTCTTGCTCTTTGTGTATGTGTGTATCTATCTGTCTGTCTATCTAGGTAGATAATATGGGCCTATATGTCTTTCCACTTTTTCCTTGAGACTGATTCTATACATGTAAATGCCTGCTCTTAAGAATACTGGCTTTGGAGGAGCTGCCTGGATGCAAATTCTGGGCCTGCCACTTAGTAACTGTGGAACTGCAGAAGTTGTGTAACCTCTCCGTGTCATCTCATTGTATATTAAGCTAATAGTACCTGGCTCATTGGGTGGTTATGAGGATTGATGAGATACATCTTGTCAATGAGATTAGGGCCATATTTAGAATGTTACTTGGTACATAGAAGCACCAAATAAATGTAAGCTATTATTTTTCCCAGAATGGGGGAAATTTGCACTAGAAATCAGAAACACAAATTTTTGAAGCTTCTATTACAAATTTTACCCACTTACCCAACTTGTTATATGGTATTGTTATGTTGTTAACGTCTTTGTTGTGTTTGACATACAGAGCAAAACCAAACCAAACCCCAGCAATTTTCAAATTGGGTCATAGTGCTTGGCACACCTGACTGTCACTAACTGTCTGTGGGTTGTTTTAGATTTTATTTATGTATTTTCAGAGGGTAAGGGAGGAAGAAAGAGAGGGAGAGAAACATCGATGTGCAAGAGAAACACCTATTAGTTGCCTCTCGCATACCCCCAACTGAGAGCCCCACCCGCAACCCAGGCATGTGCCCTGATTGGGAATCACGTGGAGACCTTTCCGTTTGCAGGCTGGCGCTCAGTCCACGGAGCCACACCAGGCAGGGCCTGTGGATTTCAGAGAGGTTTTTGCTAGATATAGTTAAGAGAACAAAGCGAGTGTACAGGTGACTTTTTCATTTATCATGTTGAAAAGGCATTTGTGATGCTTCCGTTACTTGAAATTCATTTGAAAATTATATGCATCTTTTAGTCAATGTAATATATGTTATATTATGACTAAGAAATACTACTTTGAAAAATTATACAGGGTGGGGCAAAAGTAGGTTTACAGTCGTGAGTATATGAAACACAGGGTTTAATGTATAATTATTTATTAATTATTGTATAATTTTACATGTGAACAATTGTAAACCACCCTGTAATATACAGGTTGATACATATTTTGTAGGCAGTTTATAGGAAGTTTCAAATACAGATTTTTAAAGGAAGCCAAACACATTTAGTTCCACATATTTAAACAAATTTGTCAGTTACAGTTTAATCAACTTTAGATATTGTTTTATCAGTGGTTTAGCTTTATTCCTAAATATGGCTGGACATCAGGAACCTTGATTCAAAAGATAAAGTTCTGGGGTTTGTTTTTGTATTTTTATTTTTTAAAGATGTTATTTATTAAGTTTTAGAGAAAGAGAGGCAGAAAAAGAAGAGAGAAACATCAATGTGTGGTTGCCTCTTGCACGCCCCCTACTGGGGACCTGGCCCGCAACCCAGGCATGTGTCCCTTTGAATCGCAGGCTGGCACTAGCCAGTGCTTCCTTGACTTTATTGATATTATTGACATATAATGTTGTGAGTTTGATGTGTACAGTGTATTGATTTGATACAATTATGTACAATACATATATTGCAAAAAATGATTACCACCATAGCATTAACTAACACCTGTATCCCGACACATAATTACCATTTCCTTTTTGTGATGAGAATAGATTACATTAATTTTAGTATTTTGAAAGCACATTTTGCCAACTTTTCAATTTACCAGAAGACAGATTCCTTTATAATCTTTTTATTTTATTGTGTTCCTCTGTAATTGTCTTGGTTCAGGCTGCAGCAAATAATACCCTAGACTGGATAGCTTATCAACAACAGAAACTTATTTTTCATAGTTCTGGAGGCTGGGAATTCTAAGGTCAAGGTACCAGCAGCTCTGCTCTCTGGGGAGGGCTTGCTTCCTGGTGTAGAGACAGCTTTCTTCTTGCAGTATCTTCCCATGGCAGAAGGGGCGGTGGAGTTCTCTGGGTGTCTACTCTCTTGACCTAATCCCCCAAAGGCTCTACCTCCAAATGCCATTAGCTTGGAAATTAGTTTTTAACACAGGAATTACGGTGGGGGGTGAACACAGACATTCAATCTGTAGCAGTGATGTTAACATTTTCTCCTTTTTGAACATTTTACTGTTAATGTGATGCCCCTCCTTAACTTTAAATGTTTTCCAAACATTTTGGGAAGAATTTAACTTCAAGTGAAAAATTTGAAAACCTTTTTATTTTAGGTTGACTTATCAAAGGATCTCCCGCACTGGAACAAGCTTAAATCAGATGAGAAGTATTTTATTTCTCACATCCTAGCCTTTTTCGCAGCCAGTGATGGAATTGTAAATGAAAATTTGGTAAGATTTTTTTTTTAACTTTTGTTTCCATTTAGCGGTTAAATGAGTATAATGGCAGTAAGATAATTGGGCTGAACCTAAAAATCTGTGTTTAGGAAACAAACTAGATGAAGCTTATTTCTTAAATGCGTTTTTCTGACGAAGTGTCAGAGGAAATGGTTTATGCATGTCTATTGTTTGACCAGCAACATATCATTAAATCAAGCAGAATATAACAATCAAAATTACTAGCATAAACATGAGTTTGATTTTCACCCTTAGAGATGAATCCTAATAAAGAACCTGCACCTTAGTAACCCTTCTGAAGCTCTGTAGCAGGGCTCTGGGTTCTGGCTCCCCATCTTTAAACCTGTGCTGTGGTTGGCCCGGGGGCACACTTTCTTCTTAAAGAGAAGAGAAAGATTCAAACTTTCATCATGAACTGGAAGGGGCTTCAGTAGATTTACTGTCCGCTGTCAGAAAAACAAAATGACATAAGGTCAGTTCTATAAAGTATAATCTTTTTTGTTAGATGTTCTATAATTTATTTGGCAATATAGTCTGCTTCTCCACCTAACAGACCAATTCATTTAGCTGCTTAACAATACATTATGCAACTAATTTATTGTAGAGGGTTGATGAGTAAGCAGTACTGTTTAAAGTCATCCATAAGGTCTTTCTGATCTGTTTGTGGCATGACAGGCAATTTCTAATGATTCTGATATCTAGATTCTGATTTATAGTATTTAATGAGAGCCCACAGAATTGGATATATTTGTTTCCTTTATTTTCATAGGTGGAGCGATTTAGTCAGGAGGTGCAGGTTCCAGAAGCTCGCTGTTTTTATGGCTTTCAAATTCTCATCGAGAATGTTCACTCAGAGATGTACAGTTTGCTAATAGACACTTACATCAGAGATCCCAAGAAAAGGTATCACCACTGGGATTTTATTTACAAAGGTTTATCCTATTATTTGATTATGTTAAGAGCAGAATTTACTCCAAAAGTAAATGTTAGGGAAATATTATTCAAATATAGGAATTTAGGAGTATAATGTTTTCTGTTGCTCAACAATGTGTTTGTTTTAAAAAGAGAACTTGTGTAGAACCTGTGGAGTGCATTCTCTTTTGCAATTGAATGTTTGAATTTAGTCAATTTTGTATCAGATCAGACCCAAACCACTAATTTGAATTTTACTTTAATTTCTGTATTTTATAGACATGCAAAACTATAGAAAGATTACAGTTCTGATAGTAGAGCATAGAGTTGCAATTATTATCTCTGATTAGCAAATTAAAATTTATTCTGATTAAGAGAAACAAGTGCATAACTTTGCCATTAATTCTTTTGTTTTGACAGGGAATTTTTATTTAATGCAATTGAAACAATGCCATATGTTAAGAAAAAAGCAGATTGGGCCTTGCGGTGGATAGCAGATAGAAAATCTACTTTTGGTATGTAGCTTTATATATATCAATTTGCCTGGTGTGACTATCTCGGAGTCTAAATGTGCACTTTGAGTAGGATCCTTCTTTCTAGTAATTGATTAGAAACCAGCATTAAAGTAATCTAAAACTGTATGTATTCTGTTTAGTAAATTAAAAGTTGAAAGGTTAAGATGTCAATGCATAATACCAGGTAAATAAGTCAGTTACATAGAATCTGACAAGAGTCTTCAGCAATCCACACTCTGTATCTGCTTTCACGAATGTTTATTTTAGGAATTTAAAACAAGTCAAAATCTTCACATTTTTTCAGGGAACAAATAAGTAGTTTCTGAAAAACTGAAGATTAGCAAGAACAGGCTTATTTTTCACCCTTCTGGATGAGTTGAGATCCAATAATTTTTTTTAATGAAGAGATTAACATTGCATCTTACACATAGTAGTTGCTCAGTAAATCTTTTTAAAATTTAGGTAAAATGTTCAGATAATTCATTTGAATAACTCTAAGTATCTGTCTCATTCTTATCTGTTTTATAATTGGTAGTCTTTATTTTCTGGATTTATTCAAATGGTGGGGAAGCAGGTCTCAACATTTTTGGTTTCAGGACTCCTTTGTACTCTTAAAAATTATTGAGATCATATGGTATTTATCTTTCATGGCCTGGCAATAAAAAAATTAATTAAAAAAATGATTGAGGGCCTCAAAGTACTTTTATTTGTGTGGGTTATTGATATTTTCATATTATAAGTTAAAACCAAGAAACTTCAACATACTTAATATATATATATTTTATTTATTTTTAAATAAAAATTCAGTTTTTGAAGATTTTATTTCTTTTTAGAGAGAGGGGAAGGGAAGGAGGAAGAGGGGGAGAAACATCAGCGTGTGGCTGCCTCTCACATGTCCCCCAGTGGGGACCTGGCCCACAACGCAGGCGTGTGCGCCAACTGGGAATCAAACCAGCAACCCTTTGATTCACAGGCCCTCACTCAATTCACTGAGCCACACCAGCCAGGGCTATTAATGCATTTTTTAATGAGAGTAACCTATTAGAGTTTAACATATATTTATGGAAAAAACACCGTATTTTCCAAAAAAGGAGGAGAATGGCATAGTTATTAATTTTCACAAATCTTTTAAATGTCTGATGAAATAGACGACAGCTGAATTGTATCTGCTTCTGAATTTTGCATACTGTTGTTTTAGTTAAATTATACAAAGAAAATCCACCCTCATTCAGATACATGGTTAGAAAAGGGAGGACTATTTTACCGGGTTTTTCAGATTATTATGGAAATGCCATGTAGCATCTGGAAGATGCCTCTATACACTCATGAGAGAACGGTGGTAAACAGATGGCAAACAAACAAGCAGTGCCTTGGTATTATTATGAAAACAGCTTGGACGGCACAGACCTTGGTCTGTGAGTGTGCAGGGACTTCTGAACCACACAGTGAGAACCAATGATGTAGTGTCAAGTATGGCAAGCTTCGGTATATCTGGGAAGACACAGTCTACATTGCCTTCAGTTTATTTTGAGGTTGAGAAAGGCACTGATTCTCAATGTGCATAGAGAATTTGTGGGAAAACTCAGAGTTGTGTTGGAGGCCCAAGTGGGACTGAGGAATCTGCGTTTTTTACAGTTGATTCTCTCACAGGTGGTTCAAGAGGCAGATTTTGAGACACATTGGCTTTAGAGAAAGAAGGGAGATTCCAAGGTGTTCAGTATGCACTGAAAATATTAGGCTGGATAGGTACTGATGGAAAAATGAAAAATGGGCTCCCAGAAAGCATGTGTTAAGTGGCACTGCCAAAGAAAGCAACCTGGAAGTAAAGAAAAAAGAGGCAGGTGGTGGTTACCATGTGACATCAGGGGCTTTAGTGAAATTTTCCATATTGCTCACTTCCAAGGCAAACTCCACTCAGGGTTCTGAGTCAGAGTCTCAGAGGAAAGAACATGGAGTGGAACAGGTAGTGGGAAAAGAAAAAGATGAAGAACACATTGATGGCCCTCCTCTGTGGGAGAGGAGCTAAAAGCAAGAGCATGAAAATGTTGTCTCGCCTCAGCAGACACCTGCACAGTCGGTTAACCAGCTGGGGAAGTGCCGTTTTGTGAACTAATTGTGCCACCTGCACCGTCAGCGCTTTTAGGTTGGGGAAGCTGGCTTTGGGCCTTGCTAGTGATGTAGGTGACCGTCTGCACCTAGTAGGACTCAGGAGAGCAACTGTTCTTTTCTCACATTCAGACTCTTCTAACTTTTAGCTAAAGAGAACCTAAGAGTATTCCTTAAACAAGCATTAGGTTGTTTGGAAATTGATGTAAGTAGATTCAATTCCTGTAGAGCTAAAAATTCTTAATTGTGGATCTGCTTAGTTTTTAAACAACTGATATACACTGCTTAATTTAAAAATATCTTTAAAGAACTTTAAAATATTAAATATATAGATTCAACCTTAACATATGTAGTGAAATTTCCTTTCGAACATCAAAAAGTGTCTTAGTACATGGCATTGTAGAGTCCAGTGCACTGTTAAAGTAATGCCTGCGTCCCCATCTCTGAAACAAGTCACGAGGCCTTCACACTCCGTGGAGCTTTCAGAAGAAGTGTTTTGGAAATCTCTTTTTGGTTCACATTCATCCATGGAAATATGTAAAATTATACCCTTTATAATCCTTCGATCCTCTCCAAAAAGAATAGGCTGCTGTATGTCTGTTTCGATTTTCATTCTTTAGCATTCACATGAATGCACAGAATAGTTAAAATTACAATTTTTCTCTTGTTCACAGTGTTTGTATTAAATAAGAGTCTCGTTTACTTACAGATCAGTGTCCATATGAAATCACCTTTTTGTCAGTGAAAAAATAATTATCTTATAATTAATAAGATAATTATAACTATTCTTATTAATAGTAAAATTAAAATGTAGTAATCTGTATAGGAAGCTAATGATAAATCTCCAACTAAAAGCATTACTAGTCTAAAGAGCCATTTTTGTATTCAAGAATTACCAGAGCATAGTGATTATTATTTATCTATTTTAAGATTAAATTTTAGCATATTTAATATATATTACACTGAAGAGTCAGTAATAGTATTCTATATAGTATCTGCTCAAGTACTTATTTAATTTTTATTTCTTCTCCTGTTTTTTTCAAAGTGACTGTTAAATTGTGCCTATAAAAATAAAATATTATGAAAGATTTCTGGTATTTTGGGCTAATAATAGATAAATGTTTGGTATAATTGCTCTATCTAATTTGATTTGTTTACAGTTATCAAGGAAAAGAACAAGGACGAACCAGAGTACTATTTAGAGACAGCCAGAAATATTTAAACTTAGTCATCTTCTTTTTGAAGTTGAATATTATAATAACCTTTGCTTGGGAAGTTACACTTAATTCAGTTTCTGCATCAAGTTATAGCGATTCCTATGATGTCTTTTATCATCAAGTGCAACAATTTTCCACCAGTGCGCCACAAGAATTTTTAAAACATGCAGTACTTGAGTATTTAGTCAAGGGCACCGACCTCTATTTTCTTAAATTTTCAAGTAAAATAATGACAAGAGCCAGTACAACAATAGCCATCCAGTGTGAATGAATCAAAATTATACATATTTTTTGTCAGTTGACTGATAAAAAACATACTTTTTGGTGTGTTGCAGAATTTTAGTAATTAGTTTATATGCGCCATGACATGAAAAAGGTTGAAAATCACTGATGTAGTGCTAATATAGTTTCTGTTGATTGAGATCAGGACATATTTATTAAGTGCCTGTTATTGCATCTTTGGCTGCACGACAAGGACTGGGATGCCAGCTCTGATGTCACTGTGAAACAGGTCTGTAGCTGGTTCAGTTACTCAGCTGCCTTTCACAGTGTCATAGACTAAACCTTTTCTCCCTGGACAGACACGTATATAAATTCTTCTCCTGAGCAGCAGTGTTGTGGCATAGGAGCTTGAGAATGATCTTCTTTTGGGTTAGACCTATAATCACCCCTAAAGATAGCGTTACAGATATACTGCGGCATTTCATTCTAGGAGATGGGCTTCTGCAAAGTCCTTGCCTAACAGTAAGTAACCTTTAAAATTGGGCCTTATATCTTTAGCAGAAGACTGTATTTTTCTTATGTGATAGGACATTTTATCTGGTAGATGTATTTATAATGTTCAGCTGGAATGTACCCCCTACTGGGGACCTGGCCCACAACCCAGGAATGTGCCCTGACTGGGAATTGAACCAGTGACCCTTTGGTTCGCAGGCCGGCACTCAATCCACTGAGCTACACCAGCCAGGGCTATCTGTTTTTCTTTCATTGCAGATGCAGGGCAGTGATTTTTGAAATGTTTACAGCTATAATAAGATATTTTTAAATTATAAACCTCAGCAACCTCCCTTCTCCCAGCCACAAACCAGGGGGCATTTGTCATAAAAGCTCTCTTCTACTCTCTGCTCTGAGCCACACACACACACACACACACACACACACACACACACACTTAACTGCACTCACGGGCACGATGGTGCACAGACAAATTGCCTCTTTTTTTTTTTTTTTTTTTGTATGAAAGGCTCTCTGTCTGCACACCAAGACCTACGGGAGTTCAGTGTCTGACGTAAGATGTGAAGTAGACACACCTTTCTGCTGTGGTAGGTAGAGGAGGCAGGGTTCCTCCTATGCAGACCCTTGGCTATTGCACCAGCTTGTTCATTTTATTTCCTGGCATATTAGCTGTGGTATCATTATTAAAGTGTACAAAAGTGTGTGTGTGTGTGTGTGCACACACACACATATATATATATATATATCTTTATATATATATAGCTATATATATATATAGCTTTAAAATGTCTGCGGTATATGGTATTTCAGAAAAATTAAACTATTTTTTGTTCCTTAGGGGAAAGGGTGGTGGCCTTCGCTGCCGTAGAAGGAATTTTCTTCTCGGGATCTTTTGCTGCTATATTCTGGTTAAAGAAAAGAGGTCTGATGCCTGGACTCACCTTTTCCAATGAGCTCATCAGCAGAGATGAAGTAAGGAATGGAGTGTTCTTCTTGTTATATTTGTATTCATGCTTGGTGTTCATTTTTTTTCTTTCCCCTGGAAAATGCTTGTGACCCAGGATCCTGGTAATTACTGGTAAAAGAAAATAAGAGGTCATTTCCTCCCTGGCTTTTAAGACACTGTGCTTTCCTCCTGCCTCTTACAGTTTCTCCTTAGTCTCTTCTGCTCATCCTTCCATATTGTTCTCCAGGTTCCCATCGCAGACTCCTTTTCACTGTACACGACGTCCTGGCTGGTCTTACTTATTCCCACGGAATCAGCTACCATCCAGATGCTCGTAACAACCAAAACTTTATCTTTAGCTCATATATTCTTTCCTGAGCTCCAAACCTGTGTATTCGAGTGCATGTTACATGGTTTCTCCTGGAAGGAGAAATCAAACTCATAGTCTTTATCCCAAGATTATTCTTCCCTCTGTTTTCACTATCTCAATGAGGGCCGCTAACTTCCATCCACTCATTTCTTAATTTTTTTAGACATTAAAAATAAATGAACTTTTATTTTGGCTCTTCTTTGTTTTCCTTTAAAAAATTCTTGTGGTTGCAGATTTCTCTTGTTGTTAATTAATTCTTCTTTTATGTTGATGAACTGAGATTTGCTGACACTGAAATATTTCCACTATAGGTTATTGTAATTGGCATTTTAAGATGTGAAGAAAAGAAGTTCCTGGCCCTCTTGGTCCTCCTTGTGTCTTCCAGAGGCTACACCTTGCATTCCTAGAACCTGCTCTTTATGATCCCTGGCATGTCAGTGTGCGAAAATAGCTACCATGTTTTTTTGACATTGGTATTTCTCTTCTGTTTTAGGGGCTTCATTGTGACTTTGCTTGCCTCATGTTTCAGTACTTAGTAAATAAGCCATCAGAAAAAAGGGTCAGGGAGATCATTGTTGATGCTGTTGAAATTGAGCAGGTAAGCAGGGGAGCTTGTAGGATCCACACATCTACCTCTGAAGTTTATGCCATTATACTGTTAGATTGACTCAAATGAAACTGCCATTTGGTAGGTCAGAGTAAGTATCAGTGATTTTATGTGGTCAGTCTGACAGTACTAACAGGTAATGTGTTTCAGTGGTCATGTCAGCTTCTACTTGGGTTCGTGAGTGCGGTACATTAAGGTTTCATGTGTGCGAAGTCTGTTTCAAGGACTGGCGTCTCTGTCTCATCGATCTGTCAAATCGTATGCCCTGACAAATGATTTTAATTATTTTAGCTTTATATTTTTAGATTGTTAGCTACTGGGGGACAGTAATGGTTTCTTGTTTGTTTTATGTTGTCAAAAACCTAGCAGGGTGTCTAGCTTGAAGCATGCACCAGATGCTGATGGAATGAATAAATAAATGAATCAGTGAATAGTACAACTTCATTTATAGCATGTAACAATATACGACTAGAAAGATCTGACTGCTCCACTTAGAATGTGTTTTTATCATTTGAAAGAACTAGCTTAAAAGTGAAAAAAATTTTTAAATTTAATACTATGTAGTCTAACAGCCATACTTTTCATATTGTGAGGAGGAAAACGCATAAAATACATTTCGGTATGTTTAATCATTTAGAGAACTAAATCCAGATGATTAATGGTTTTATTTCTCCCCTATTAGCACTTACCACTGCCTTTCAGCATAGCTGGAGTTCAGTTTATCCCCGAACCTGCAAATCCAATCCTATTTCTTCCTCATTTTGTTTCTTAAACGTGGTTTCTATTTTTTGCAACACCCGTCCGTCATCATGTTCCCCATGATGATCTTCTTCGGTGAATCTTTTTCTAGATTTTTTTTTTCCTATAGAAAAAGCGTATGAATTCAGGTCCTACATGTGCTCCTTTACCAGTGATTTGATCATTAGTTTCCATTTATTATGGCTATTTGAGAACATGAAAAAACATGAACAGTAAATACCCTAAACATTTTAAACAAATGGACATTATTTGCTATGGTGAAAGAATTTAACCTAGTGTACTTTTCTTGGACAAGATTAGTGATTTAGAAGATGAATAAAACTAAAACCCACTTTTTCTGTGGAAGATACATACTTACTTCTTGTTCTGCCTTTGTACTGTATTCTGCTTTTGTTTTTATCTCAGGAATTTTTAACAGAAGCCTTGCCTGTTGGCCTCATCGGAATGAATTGTGTTTTGATGAAACAGTATATTGAGTTTGTAGCTGACAGATTATTTGTGGAACTTGGATTCTCAAAAGTAAGATGTTTTATATGTATTACTACTAAGCTAAAATGTCATTTGTCAAGTAAGTCTACCAAAATGTTATAATTGAACTGAAAGCATTTGTAACATACTAGTTTACTTTTCAAATGTCCACAACAGAGCCTTGTTCTTCGAGAACAGAAAGGCTTTGCAAAATCCTTTGAAACTTGAAATGAAATTCGTAACAGAAGTAGGAGGCTGATAAATCTTAGAATAAGCTCAACAAATTACTTTGTAAAAATTGCAGGAGTCTATTTAAAAATGGGATTATTATTAAGCAGTTGAACTTAATATGTACATATGTGTTTTACCCTCATATAAATATCCATATATCTTTGTTGTAATTTGAGGGTTGATACTTTTAAATAGGAAATAGTTATTATGAAGACTTTAACTGTCCTGACTTGACTCTGAACTCAGTTGTCTTTAAGCTATTTCTGTTCTGTTTATCAGAGATAATGTACCTGAGTTTCATAAAGAGGTGTGCTTTTCACATGACTTAGCAGATGGAGGCTGCAGCCAGACGCCTGGGTTTGAATCGTGGTTCCACTACTTTGTAGCTGTGTGACCTTAGGCAAGTTGCTTAACCTCTCCCTCAGTTTCTTCATCTGTAGAATGGAGATAACAACAGTAATAATAATACCTACCACAAAGGATTGTTGATGAGTTAGTAGCTTAAAGTACTTGCAACAGGGTCAGACATACAGTAAATGCACACCGAGTGGGTGTGTTGTATTCAACATAAGTGGAACATTCGTGTAACGTTACAACATACTACACCATGGTCATTAAAAATGATAGGTTTTGAGTTTTGAGCATGGAAATGTAAGTTTAAATCGAATTTAATGAGAAGACTTATGAATCCATGATTCTGGAAAATGGTCACCTTTCTTGGTAGTAGTGCCTTTATATTCTGGTAACCACAGAAATACTGCAAAGGGGTCGGGGGAAGGAAAGGTTTTGGTAAGATAAACTATTTGTATTTTATTATTATTTTAGTTGCAAGAGCCTCTCTATATTTATCAGTAATTAATGAGAGAAATCAAGATTATAATTGTATTAATATGATCTCTTAAATTTATGAACTGTGTATTAAAAATGTGTATTTGTTCCTAAGTTATACCAGTATGTTTGTTAGAGGAAAATTAGTTTGCTTCCTTAAGCCTCAGAGAGAGCTCTCCATCCTTTATCCCGCCACCATGTCCTCCCATCCACGCATCCACGTTCTCTGGCTTGTTGGAGAACCGGCTTCCTGGGTCTGGTTTTCCCTCCGTGCCTCCTACAGGAGAGTATCTACACCCAGTGTAAAACAGCAGTTTTCACAGGTCTTCAGCACATCTCAGTAAGTTCCCAAGAGCAGAAATTATGCAGACCTCTTAGATTTTAATGCATTAAAATGAGAAATTCACAACAAAAGATTGTCAAAAGGTCCATCTACTTAGAAATTGAAAAGATACCTTTAAAACAAGATTAAAAATACAAATACAAACTAACAGAAAATATAAACTAAATGACATTAGGATGACTGCATATCAAAACTTGTAGAATTCAACCAAATAGATCCTCACAGGCAAATTTGTAGCCTCAAATGAGTATGTTAAGAAAGGACCTATAAGAAGAACTATTCTGATAGTAACAGTTTTTGGTAAAAATAAGAGACTATTAGATTAGCAAGTGGTTGTCATTTATACAGAATTCTAATTAGGAGCTGCATTGATGATATTTTCAACTTCTCTTTTAGTTTAGAATTAGTCAATAAATATTTGAGTGCATTCAATGTGTCAGAAACAAGCCACTTAATTTAGTTTGTTCTCAGTCACCTTGTCCATGCCATGAGTGATTTGGATCAGATCTTTTGGGAAGGTCACTGGTTTTAAAATCCAGTGAATCCATGACGTGGGTCTAGTGCTCCTCCGCTTACCCTGCTGTGTGTGACAACTCGGGTCACTCCCTCCTACAGTGCTCCCGACAGGGAAGATTTCACAGGATTCCGCCACCCAACCGTACCAGCTTATGAGCGTTTTTGGAATTAACACACACACATGCATATAAAGAAACAAACCACAGAGTATGCAATTCACCTATTAATAAATGTACAATTCAGTGGTTTTTTAGCATATTCACAGAGTTATGCAATTACGACAACAATCTATTGTAGAACATTTTTTTTGTCACTCCACAAGGAAACTCTGTACCCATTAGCAAGCAGTCACATCTCTTTCCCCTGCCCCCATCTCAGCTTTAGGCAGCTCTAATCTAGTTTCTGCCTCTTTAGATTTGCCTGTTCTGTAGATCCCATTTCACATAACCAGAGTCAGACAGAATAGGGGATTTTGTGTTTGGCTTCTTAACATAGGATAATGTTTTAAAGGTTTGTATGTGTTAGGCTGTACAGGCTACTGTATCCAGTACTTTATTCCTTTTTTATGGCCCACTAATATTCCTTTGTATGGCTGTACCAAACTTGATTTATCCATTTATGGGTTGGTAGACATTTGAGTGGTTTCACTTTTTGACTATTTTGAATAGTGCTGATATGAACATTCACATGGAAGCATATATTTTCATTTCTCTTGGATGTGTATTGGGTTGGCCAAAAATTTTATTTAGTTTTTTCCGTAAAATAAAAGACATTTTACATTTTCACCAATAATTTTATTGATTTGGATATTTGGAGTGTGTCAGCTCATTTCCACGTGGTGTAATGTTGATTGTTCTCAATGAATGTCTCAGTTTGATCGCTATCAACTTCAGCTTGTCTACCTGACCACGGAGCATTGTCCAGTGAGAAATCTCCGGTGTGAAACTTTGCAAACCCCTTCTGACACATTTAGTCGCTCATAGCACCTTCTTCACACACTGCACAAGTCTTTTTTTTTTTTTCATTTCAGTTGAATTTTTGCCTTTCTTGAAATAATGAAACATAATATGCTGAAAATGTTGCTTCTTTTCTTCCATCTTCAATATTAAAATAGTTACACATAACTTTACTAATTTTGATGAGCTTTTTTTAATGCACACCGATACGACAGCTGTCACAATATAGTGTGACAAAATTGTTTCGAATCACGTTAAAGACAACTATGCACTACTAGAGCCATCTTACCAAAAAAAAAAACAAATGAACTTTTTGCTGGGTCATATACTAACTCTATTTTTAATCTTTAGAGGGACCGTCAGCCCGTTTTCTAAAGTGACTGCACCATTTTACACTAATACCAGCATTATACTAGACATCTGATTTCTTGACATCCTCACCTATACTTGTTGTTCGTTTCCCCCCCCCCACCATTATCGCCACCCTGATGCTTGTGAAATGGTATCTCACTGTGGTCTTAATTTGCATTTACCTAGTGGACAATGATTTTGAACGTCTTTTCCCATGCTTACTGACTTTTTGTGTATTTTCTTTAGAGAAATGTCTATTTGTCTACTCACATTCTTTGCCCATTTTTAATTGAGTTATTTGAATATATTTTTATCTGTGGTGTTCATAATTTCTGCCGGAATACTCCTAATTTTTAAAAAAACCTTTTATTGACCCTCATGAATCATTAAAATGTCTCACAGTTCTCATCAGGCTGTATCCCCAAATCTGCTTCTTGAATTGAGAAGCAGTGAAAAAGCTTCTTGTCAACATAAGTCCCACTTCTGGGGGGGGTCACTATGGGTAGAATTTATTCTGCCTTACCTCAGAATGGTCCCTTAACTGATGTGACTGTCCGTTCTTTCATGAACTAAGAAATACTTAGGTCTACGCTACATTGTTGGTAATTTAATAATTTGTAGTATCCTGTATAGGTGACTACCTGTTGATAATACCTGTGAGAAATGCCTGTAATATCTATGGTGTATTAATTTCTCAAACTCTGAAAACATTTTAGTTGGTTGGTTTTAAATCTTTCATTTCCTAAAATAATCTTTTTTTCCCCTTCCTACTTTTTAGAATACCAGAGATGCTAGTACAGTTTCTTCAGGATGCTAGTAGGTGATCTTAGTCATCTGAAGATGCATCTGCCCTGAGCACCTCCGGGACCCCTGGGAACGTGGGATCCTGAAGCTGCCTGAGCAGGTGTCGGGAGACCCAAGTTCTGCATCAGTTGTCTGTTGCTCTTCTTGTGGGATATAATTTGGTTGCCTTGGGATGTCTAAAGAAAAAGTAAAGGAAATTTATTTTTCTTTCAGGTTTTTCATGCAGAAAATCCCTTTGATTTTATGGAAAACATTTCCTTGGAAGGGAAAACGAATTTCTTTGAGAAACGAGTTTCAGAGTATCAGCGTTTTGCAGTGATGACGGAAACCACGGACAATGTTTTCACCTTGGATGCAGATTTTTGACACCCTCCCCGTATCTAAACCTGTCGTTGGTAAATAGCTGTCTGTTCTTCTCTGTTCAAAAAACAAATCCAAACCTTACAGTATCTCCTTTACAGAGTAGGAGTTTGCTCAACAGGAAATCCAAAAGCAAATGTCAGTCCATTCGGATTTATATGAATGCACTGTAACTTTCCAGTTTAACAAGCAGAGTGTGACCTAAATGTTTTCGTTTTGTTACTGAAATAGAAGATGGCATTATCTAGTGATTGAGAGCTTGCGGGTAGGTGTCAGGTACGAGTTTGAGATTCTGTCCTTCCTACTTTGCGTGATGCTTGGCAAGTCAGTTAATCTCTGTCTACCTCAGTGCACTTGTCTTTAAAATGAGTGTAATAGGAAGCCCTAATTTCATAGAGCGGACGTGAGGAGTGAGGCACAACATAAGTACTTAATACCACCAGTACCACCACCACTGCTGCTATTACTGCTACTGCTTACTGTTATGAATAGTGTTAATTACAGTGATACCGTGATAAAACACTCCCATCTCAAAGCAGTTGTGAGCTAGATTCTGAGACCTGGAGTTAGATCTTTGCATTTTTAGTGTTTGAGGAAGGATATAAAGATTTCCTAAAAATTACACTTCTCATTCATTTGAGAGTAACAACTTTGAATTCATCAGTACTTAGTAAAGGAGATTTAGTTCTTAGCTGCTTTGGGCAGGATGCTTGTGGAGCGGATCCAGGAGGTTACTGTGGTAGTTTGCCTTGTGAGCAAAGTGATTCTGCTCCTTCAGAAATTAAAAAAGGTACCTATTATCAGACATAACCCTGGAAGGTTTAAAACCAGGTAGATATGCTAGAAGAGTATTTTCCAAAGAATATTTAAGAGCTGTTAGCCTCTCTAAATGTTTTGTGGAGAAAAGAGATTCTGTGGTCTCATGAGCTTGGAAAATGCCGTATTGTCTCTTCCTCCTTACAGGGCTCAGTCAATACATCAAAGACTGACATTCTGCAGTTCGTAAACTTATCTCCCCCTGCTTATTCCAAACTTCACACAGATATGCTTTTCATGTGTTAACATCTAACCTGGGTAGTGGTCTTCAGGACATAGTTTGGGAAAAGCTGGTCTAGAACCATTCATACATAGAAGAAGGGCTTGTGGACTAAGCCACGGAGAACCTGGTAGGGTTATGAACCCATTTCAAGTCTGTGCCCTGCTGAGTGAGGTATGTGATTGGGCTCAGGTGTGTTTCCTTAATCTTCTTATCGCTGCTTTGTGCTGTTGTGAGATGTAGTTCTTTTAATGCTACCGCCAAGGCTGCAAGGAGGCAGATGGTGGGGGAGACAGGAGCCAAAGTCCCCGAGAAGTCTGCCCTCTTGAATGTAAGGAGGTGTCAAGAGATAGCCTGAGCCCCAGAAAGCAGTGGGGTCCCCACTCACAGCATGCTACTTTTTTTAAATTCCAGAGGTTAAAATTTAGAGATTTTCTCTTTGTATACATTTTTGCTCCATTCATGCCACAACTATCTAATGATTAAAACAGGGAATTTTCAAGTGGGTGCAAAAGGAAATGACTATAACCTTATTTGTTAGAATATCAGAAACTAGATAGTTGGCCTACGATAATATCATTTATTTATTCAGTGCTTCTTAGTTTGCCGGGTGTCTTCACATCATCACCTCATTTAATCTTACAGCAGCTCTCTGAGCTTGACAGAGCGGTTAGTATTAAAGTCTTACTGCTGGGAAGAGGAAGGCTCAGAGGAGTGAAGTGACTTGGTCAAGAGCTGTGCATAGTTGCTATCCCTACACATGTCCCTACAATGTCATTTTTTACAGGACATCATATTTCTTGTATTAAGTGTTTTGTCAGCCATCTCAATTTGATTTTGCCTGTTTCCCACTAAAGTATCATTTTAATTATCATATATATTAATTGAAGTCTCAAAGTATCATAAACATTTTAACTATAATCAGGTAATATGGTCAAAGAAATGTATCTACTGCCATGCCAAAACTTAACATTTAAAATTGATATCTGTAATGACATCAGAATGAAAGAAACACTGTCTACATCTACAGCCCACTTCTCCCTTGTTCTGAATCCAAATTTTTCTCTGAGGTAAAGACCTTCGCCTTAATATGAAGTTTATTTACAGTAGCAATAAACCTAACTGGATTGAGATGAAACCATTTTAATACCAAAATACTGGATTTTATACACTGGTATATTATATTCAATATTCTATACCCTCTTCCAGGCCCCCAGGTTGCATATTTATTTATTATGTTTAATATTTTGGCTCTTAGTTTTTAAGGTATCAAGAAGTTGTGAAATTTCTTTTTAATATTATTTTGTAGGTAAAGAAAAAATTCAGAGTATGTGTATAGTTTTTTAACAGCATCTGTATTTAAATCATTGCTTTAGTAGTTAAAGTTAAGTTTACTTGGGAATATGAACACCGGCAGTTCTGTGATACACTGCATTTACTAAAAATGTTGCAGTGCGGTGCGCGGAATCGCCTCTCGGAAGGGTTCAGGGAGACACATCCATTCGGTGTGTTCCAATGGGGCTGTCTGCTGTCCGATCATGTACAATAATAAACAATCATCATTTCAACCTAAGCTTACTCCAGTCATGTCTTTACATATGAAATGTTTACAGTTCTCTCATTTGGGGACATCCAAAGTTTTCTGCTTCTTTTGCCATTTGGTTTTTCATTTGTTCCTTAAAAAAGTGACTGTTGGCAGGAGCTGGCACTCAGACAGTGGGGGAAAGCAGAGGAAGGGACCCCAGTGGCCCTAATTGCTGTCATGACAATGCTGCGTCCTCCTTTAATAACATTTCTTGTGATGACAGTAGAGAACGTCCCCAGCCCTGCTGAAGAAAGATTAAATGCTGTAACACTTGGAATCCCGCTTTTGTCCAAACCGTGTCTGCCGGGCGGGGGTTGGGGGTGGTGTACGGAGGCCCAGGAGGTCTTGGGTTCCTTGTGGCAAGGATCTTCACCCCCCCCCCCGGGATTTCCTCCTCCTGGTGGACCGCAGGGGGCGTGGGGGCAGGGAGTGTGCAGACTGCGAATGTAGGAAAGACCACACAGGGGCTGCATAGCCTACAAACGGGTCTTTGAAAACAGGTGAATTTCCCGCTCTCCGTGGTCCTGAGAATTGGTTTCAGTCTTTGCCAACAATGAAGAAGGGAACTCGTTGGATATTGGTCACCAGCACTGGGTTTTTGTGTGTTTTTCTGCTTAATTTCAAAGATACGATGCAGTTATATTGGGCCAGGTTGGGGGTGGGGGCAGCTCACCTTTAAAAATAAGCATTAAATGTACTCGAAATAGCAAAAGCTTAAGCAGTTTTAAATCTATAGTTAAACTAAAGCAGTACTTCAATAGGACTAATAACTGAAGGGATCTTTCTTATCACTAAATCCTGTTTGGCAGTTACTGCAAGTTGCCTGCAGATAGGGCTGTGATACCGCGTTTGAGCCACGGAAGGTTGAGTGCCCACCTGCAGGTGCGTGTGTGTGCACACACACGTGTGTGCGTGTGTATCTCTTGCCCTTTCTTTTTGGAAATCTGTAATAATCCTTATGAGATAGCTTATTTCATCAATTGATTAGAGTGCTAGATGATAGAGAATTTTGTCAGTAAACTAAGTACACACAGTAAATACTGTTTCTTAGGCAAAGGTAACTGTGTGTTGTGAAATTCCATTGTATTCCATTGCCAATGAAACATTAAGAGCTTTTTAGAGCTGGGTGGAAAGCAGCTATTTTTGAAAGGATAAACATTCCCAGGCCAATAAACACACTGCATCCTTGCAGAAGTCGATGTGCTAAGGAGCAGAGCTGTGCGTGGGTCTTTTATTCACAGCTTTCTAGGCTCAGGATTTTTCATTTAACTTTCTTTTTTAATGTTTGGAACACAAATGAAGATCTGATACATTCTTTTATTGTATGAAAAGGATAAATTACTCATGCTCACTGTAAGAACTTTATTTTATGGGAAGTGATGTAGCATAGGGTTTGTCCCAATGATAGATTTTTTCAGGATATGGATGTAAGTAATCATAGGTAAGAATGTACTTAGCTGTATTTTCAAATATATAACACCCTCCCTTTTCTAGGACAATAAAACTAGGCATCAATTCCCTTGTTATTCCTGATAATGCCTGGAATTTTGTTGTGTTAAGCTGACTCATTCCATTGTATTTTAAGAGGATTGAGAGTGTCAGAAATTACTTTGGGAACCTAGGAGATATCATAGCCCTGGTCCTGGGGCCTGCGGCCCACACATGACTCAGTGTAGAGTTCATTGCTGATATAAATTACTAGTACATCTTTGTGATCTTTTAAACTCTAGTGGGGAAAAAAGTCTGACCACTTTTGTGTTTTTGTGAAGGTCATAGAGTAAAGCAATTCAAAGATTTGAATACTCTTATCTCTTCATTTTCCTTAAACTATTCACTAGTGATAAAGATGTGGAAAACCATATTATAGGAAAACTGGAATATTCAACGATGGTTGATATTTTTAATTTTATACCTTTTGTAAAGCTCTGCAAGAAGTTTTGTGATTTGATTTCATTATTAAGTTTTAATACTTGGCAGCCATCATTTAGAGAATATAGTTTCATACGTTTTGCTTGCATGTTAACAAGACCTTGGGGAGGACCCACAAGCAACGGTGTTGAACACATTTCTGTGACGTTCTGGACATCAAAGCAAGTGCCATGACAATCCCTTTAGAGCTTAGACCGTTTCATATGTCCCGGGCTGATTCCAAAGAAAAACTGCACATACCAGCTCTAAAAATGTGCTCTAAATAGATGAATTCACACATTTTCCAAGGCCTCTGGGTCACTGACGGGCGATTTGCTGCCTGAGTAATATAACTGGCAGCGTGGCCCACCTGCAGTGTGCCGTACAATTCAAAGGGAGGATGTTATTTTGAAGCAGAATAAAATTTCAATGAAGAAAAGTGATTATGGAGAAAGTGTTGTAGATTTAAAAAATAAATTATTTCATTTTCAGAATCTTGCATTTTACATTTGTATGGTACAGTTTATGTTGAACTAAACTGTATCATAGCTACATCATTTGTGTATGTCCTTTTAAAGTTAAGAGTATTTCTTTATGAATGCAGGGGCTACCGTCACTGTCATAGAATTTCCAAACTGCATATGAAGCTGAAGGTGAAATGTCGCTAACTGATTTTCGGCAACACAGGAAGCCGCCGATGGGCTGTGAGAGCCAGGTTGGTCCTCTCCGCAGGTCTTCCGTGTCTGACCTGCACTGAGCGGATTGGTAGCCAGCTGAGGAACTCACACCCAGCAGAGTCTGCATAAGTGGGACAGAAGTGAAATCTGTGCATCGTGGTTTTAAAAGGTCGGCTCCTTTTTAGACAGGTTTGAAGGAGAATCTGACATTCCTGAGGCTTAGGAAGAGAGGATTTAAGTCTTCAAATTTTAGGCTTAATTCTGTTCAAGAAAATACAGGTGAAAATGGAAGGCTGAAGAATGATTTTTTTTAATACCAATAAGAAAAAATAACAATCTTTCTCTAAGTTCACAAGATTCTTATGCATTTGATTCTCTTCTACAACTATGTATTGATCTTTTCAAATGTCTCGTTGCGAAGTTACTTGCTATCCACTGTGTACGGAGAGCTTTATGAGGTGTGTACCTAAGTATTTTTTGCTAAAATACCCTATGGTCAATCAAGACAACCCCGTATATGAATTATAGAATTTGGTTTTTTCCCCAAAGAAATAAGTTTTGTCTTTGTTTAGTATGTCGAAGTAAACTATCATAGCTACATCATTTGCGTATGTCCCTTAAAAGTAAGAGTATTTCTTTATAAATGCAGGGGCTACCCTAATGAAGAAACACATACATTTCCCCAACCCATTATGGACCCAACAATCCCATTTTTCCAGGTTTGCATCCTGGCACGAAGACTGCTGAGAAAAGGTCATACAAGACGGATTGGACCTACTATAAATTCACGATTACCCTCTGTCTTAGTCTATTCAGGCTGCTATCAAAGAAAAAAAATGCTAGGTGGCTTAAACAAGACATTTGTTGCTCACAGTTCTGTAGGCTGGGAAGTTCACTATCAAGGTGCCGACAGGCTCCGTGTCTGATGAGCCTCACTTTCCTAGTTTGCAGACAGGCGTCTCCTTGCTGTGTCCTCACCTGGTGGAAGGGGAAGAGATCTCCCAAGGTCTTTTGTTTTCTTTTTATCCATCACGTGGGGGATTAGGTTCAACGCAAATTTCGGTGGGACACACCTGCCTCAGTACTTTCTTGCAGCCCTCTGTGATTTCCTGGTTAACTCATCTCCATTCTCAGCTGCTGTTTCCCACTGTCTCCACTCTGCTTCTACCTTCCGTCCTCGAAGAGCGGCCTTTATCATCTGTTCTTTCTCTGTGCGCTACGGACACATGGGACATTCTCAGAGTCCTCACAAGAAACAGCCTCAAACAGGCAGTAACTCGAGACAGGTGCTGCTTTATGGTCAGGAATTTAAACAAATCAAAGCCAGCATATGTTCGTTTGCTATCACTTTACTACCCTGAGTTCTGGGCAGGACTTCTTGGGACGTTCCAACCCAGGCAGCTCTGAGCATTTTAGAGGTGTAGTTTCAGGTTTCCGAAGTCTGTCCTGTGCAGCCACTGTCAGGGCGTGCCATTAGACAGGATAGAGACGGCAAGTCCAGAGACCAAGAAGTGGGCAATGGAATTCGAGATACAAATTTCTATGCATGGTTTTTGTTCTGTAGAGACATTACCATCACAGACTGAGATTAAGAATACCTGTGTTCCCCTCCCTTTTTTGGGGAATAACAGCCACTTAATCCTGGGAGCTGCTGCTCTCACTCCCAGCATGTGGTTCTTGAAGGGCTGCCAATACTAGTACAAATGCTACCTGTCTGGGCTCAGGGTTAGCATGTGATCAGGCAGCGCTAGGACCTTACCTGTGGGTTTTCTAGTTGGAATGAAGGGAAGAGGGTCACTTATTCCCATGACAAGCTAGAGAAAGAGTCGTGGTTCTAACTCCCCCAAGGCCCAACTGCATTCCACTCACCAACCTTTTGTTATCCAGGTAATAAATGTCTACTCTGTGTTTATTAGCCTTCTTGACTCACCACCCAAAGAACCCCAGTTAAAACAGAAATTGGGCCCTGGCTGGTGTGGCTCAGGGGATTGAGTCCCAGACTGCGAAGCAAAGGTTCCCTTGTTTGATTCCCAGTCAGGGCACATGCCTGGGTTGCAGGCCAGGTCCCCAGTAGGGGGCGCATGACAGGCAGCCGCACACTGATGTTTCTCTTCTCTTTTTCCCTCACTTTCCTTTTTAAAAATAAATAAATAAAATAATAGAACAAAACCCAGAAATTAGTTCCTGGAAACAAAATAAATGGAAAGAGCTAAGGTGTTCGTGTGTGAATCAGTGAGGGAGCTGAGAACCTGAAGTTTGCACCCTGCGTGGATCCTGAGAGCCAGGCGTATAAACCTGCATTGAAGGGGGCGTGCTGCCTGGAGGCCAAGGTGAAGAGTAGAACGGCAAGACAGAGCCGAGGTGTGAATCATAGAAGAGCAGGGTTGTTACCCAAAAGATTGT